GGACACTGCTAAATAAACCAAACGGTCTCATACGGCGCCTGGGCTAAATTAATGATCACATTATGAGCTGACTGCTGAGATTCTAATGTGAGCGGCTATATGTTTGGACCTCTCGTTGAAGAGATATAATTTAGTAGGACTGCACTCATCATCGGCAAAATTCAAAAACAGGTGGACTCTAGTACCTACTTGTTACATGAGTGACAATTAGGAATATAAAAGAAGATATACTTTATTAATCCTGTGAGGGGGAAATTCAATTTTGCACTCTGTTGTTGAACATGTTTGTGTATTTCAACCTATGTTTGTGTTTGCACATGTTGAAATACACACATGAACAAATAGGATACACCAATGGAGAGGTCTTAGCCAAAAGGCTGATACTTTAACCCTTGTAAGTCTGCCGTCAAAAAAAGGTCTGAGCCTTTATTGGTATTTGTTCTTATTGTGATGTCACTCTTTGGAGGCCTTTCAAAAGCCTCATATCTCTAGGATCTTTGCAACCTAAGCGGAAAGGTTATGTTGGGTTCCTTTAATAATGGACATTTATCTAAATTGTCCTAAACCAAAAAAACATGACTTTTTTTTCTTCAAATCATGCTAGATAAACACAAAGGAGATGAAAAAAATGATTCTATCCTGGTATTTTTTATGTTTTTCATTCAGATGTCATTGTTTCTATACGATGGAGGATTAGGGCCTTGTTAAAAAAAAAAAAAAATCTAAAATTTCCCTTAAAGCCTTTAAAGAATAAAAGAATGAAGTCGTTATTTTAGTGTATATCAGAAGAGCAGCAGCAGCCTGTTCTCAAATGACAAACGTGGAGCATCTTGTTAAACTTTAGTGAAGGTTTCACTAATAAGGAAATAGGCTACTTCCTTGTGTAGTCGGTAAAAAACAGTTAGTTCAAGACCTTGTTTATCTGTAAAATGATGTATGAACAGGACACAAACTGGCTCTGAACAAGGCAGACAAGTGCAGATAACTGACAAAAGTAGTTGTGTTGGGGCTTTACTTGTGCAGATTTGAAACTACACCACTCATCATCTTCACATTGTCATAAAATATCAGGACCCTGAAAAGATACTGCAAGAAACTGCGGCTTTTCCGAAGAGTCATTTGCGCGCAGGCTGGTCTAGAGCGTTTAATGTCCAATTTTTGTCCAATGTCCAATTTTATTTTATTTTTTTAACGTGGCCCTAATCCTCTGTCATATTTCTATGAGTAGTTGCAAAAGGTTTTATTTAAACTGAATTTTGCAAACAAAAATATCCTGCAGCCAGAGTGTTTTCTACAATTAAAAGTGCACCCTGTCTGTGTATGGACAGTTTATGCCACTTCCACTGCCAACTGGGACAACAGTCAACAGCCTGAATTAATAAGGACTTTTGAGGGGGGCGGGCTCTTGTTCAGTTTACTCCTAATTTGGACTGCCAGATTCCCTAGAGGCTGTATTGTTGTGTTTGTCATTGCTAACTCTACTGCTGGCTGGGGGAGTGAACAGAGACATGTGCTACTTCTATGTTGCCAGCTTCTTTTTTATGAGCTTGCAGAAAGCTTCACTGTTGGGAAGCATAGACCTGTCAAAGTGATCAAACTACGTATGACTGTTTCCTGAATCCTCCAAGAAAATGATGTTCCATCTGTGCCTGATTCTAATGGTGATATTATCCCCATTAAGTTCTCTGCTCATTAGGCCCCAGGTGAAAAGGGATTCATTAGAGACAACAACTTAGCTATCTGAGTTATCAATCAACCATAAGAGCACAAGAACAACCATTAGCTTACATATAATGGCTGGGAATCAAAATGTAACGTAACTCTTCCCCGTGTACTTTGGTATTGTCATGGGTGTCAATATGTGATTTCAGCATATTGAAGAATATTGTAAGGAGCGTGGATGGTTTACTCACCGGTCCGTTTATTCCTGATGGTCCTTCAGGCCCAGGCAATCCTGCCTCCCCCTGAAAAAACAATCAAGAAAACAGGAGGTAAGCAACTGATAAGGGTGAATTGAAGTCTACCTTTCAAAAAGTTTAGTTTTGGGTCACTGTTACCTGAGGTCCCTTTGGCCCCGCCTCTCCAGGAGGTCCCCGAGCACCCTGCAGAAAACACAATGAAGGATAACTGTTATAACTCTGCAGGATGCACATGTAACAGAATATACATGGTAACACTTGTTCCAAAGCTTTCTCACTTGCTCGGTTGCGTTAAAACTGTACTGTAGACCTTCAACCTCAAACTTATTGACAGCCATTTTTGGATCTTTCCATTCAAACTTATTGACAGCCATTTTTGGATCTTTCCATCAATATCGGCCAATAAATTGAACTTGACAGCTGGTTCTTTACTTTGGATACAGCAGTTGACCAGTCAATCTGAGATCAAGGTTCACTGTAAGTATATAATATAAACACTGGGTCAAATTTCTAAATGTATTTCTTAAATGGACAAACCCACACATAACCACTTATGTCATGTGGCAACCTCTGTGTTGAAAAATGAAGCCAATGTGAAGATGCAAAAAATCTGCAGTTCCTCGAGTGTCCACTTGAGGCCGGCTGCAGAGGCTAAAGATCCCCATTTAGGTTCCATGTTAAAAGGCCTATTTGATAGCAGAAATAAACATCTGTACAGCCTAGTTAAGAAATGGTATTTAGTTTATTTTGTGAATGGTAAAACCCATTTTTATAACTTAACCATTTTGGTAAAATTAAGGCAAAGACGTGTGTATAATTTGACATTGTGAGAGGTAGGGTTGATTTGACTGTCAAGTGGGTGCTTGAAGCTGTTTGCCATGAGGCTAAAGGCCTAAGTCTCACCTCTCTGCCTGTTTCTTGAGCACCTCCAATACGGCAGCATCCATCATTAGGCTTAATAACGCCTCTTAAATGTAGTCGAGTTCTCGACGATTAGTTCATCAGAGCATCAGTCAACTGCCAGTCTCATAGTGGAGCTATATGTTTAATGTCTAATTTTTACATAGATTTTCCTGTTTTCTCCAATCATTTCTCGACTCATAGCCTATCTTGGTATGAATATGACTTTATTAAAACTTTTACTGGAATCTCCTTAGTGTGTGCATGAAGAAATCACCCGAAGTATTGATAGAAGAGAGTGCAATATGTTTAGAGAATTTCATTGGCTACAAGACATGTAAGTAATCGGCAGAATTGCGTGCAATTGGCTGGGGGAGAACAGGGGGAGGAACCTCCTTTCAAAAGAGGCTCTTGTTGGCTGTTATAGGTTGCTATCAAGTGTCATCAAAAGGTCAGCGGAGTAGCTGAGTTTTTTTGACAGTCCCGTTGATTGTTATGGATGTAATGTCTTTGGACTTAATCTCTTAATGGATTTAAATCGTTGGGACTTTTAAAATTTGGCCAATCAGGCTTGACTACGTAGATCCTGAATCGGGGACAGGCCTAATGAAGTTCATGGCCATGCATCAACACAGAGGAGCTTTAAAGCAGCTCATTGCTGTGTTTTTTTATTGCGGTAATTTAATGTCCTTGTTTCAGTCTTTCTGCAATTGTAGCATTCAAATGAAAGTTCTCTGATAAATCCATTATTTGCTCCCTGCACAGAGTAATTGTCTAGCTTGAGAACATACTCGAGCATTTAGAGTATAAAAAAAAACCAAAACTTAGTGAAAGTATTGGGCAGGTAGCCGCAAACACAACTACAAGTACATTCTTTTGTTGCACTTTGGCTGATGATCTGTTCAAATAGTAAGCTTAATTTTGACTTTAGAGTTGGGTGTGCTGACCCTAAGTGGATATATAGCAAGGTATTTTTGTACTTTTTGCTGCAAATGACACTTCTACAACTTGGCTACAACTCTAATGTTTTTCTTTTAGACTTTTCTGATTCTACAGTGTCTCTCCTGTTCCTCCTTGTGAAATCAGAAGCCACTTTGTACCAGATTGATGGGAAAGTCAATAGAAAAGCCTACACCTGTTACTTACTTAGTTTTTTGGATAATACAGTCCCACAATTTAGGAACTGTCACATCAAATAAGGAGATGGTCATGATATCCCTGCATTAAGTCAATATGGATACGGACGCATAGTGCTACGCCCTGTCATGCCATGCATCATGTGTCAGATGGTAGACTGTGATCTATGGAGAGTTAAAGGCTTTGAAAATGGGACTCTGAAAGACTCCCTTCCTTTTGTACAAATACCGCTGGATCATACTGGAGGATCAGAGTGTTTTAGATTCAGAATATGTGAACCTGCACTGATGATAGCGCTACAGATAAGTTTGCTGTGTGACTATGTGTGATAAAGTCAATGAAGTGTAATCCTCAGGGTTGAAATAAGTCTGATGGATCGGGATATCAGCAGGTGTCTGACACGGTGGCTTTCCTTCAGTAACAACATCGGGGCTTATGCTCTGCTAACATTAAAAATACTTCCTGTTTACTCTCTGTCTTCCTCTCTGAATCCATTTCTGAAAAAAATGCTGTTCAGTGTCACATTCTGATGTCAGGAGAGTCCCATTTATCTGCAGTGGTAATTTATTCAAATATGTCAAGTATGTCAGACTGTGGAGGAAGGTGATGTCAAGTGAATGTAAGATTAACTCTGAACTATTAACCCTGATTTGAGACCTCTGGCTTTTTCAGGTACCATGGAGAAAATCACCATGTTGTCCTGAAAATATGAGATGCTTCCATGTTTCAGATGAAGGCATAAGCACTGATGACTAACATGTAAACCTGAAAAAAATCCACAAACGCATTAAGCGTAGCGGGCCCTGCATCATAACATTCACCTGACTCATCAATCTGTCAGCAGCAGGATCCATTATCTGTCTTTGGCAGATCGTGGTTATGGAAACACCATCATACGTTCACCCTGAGGTGAACAGAGGGCAGAGAGAGGAAAGGTGGGATGACAGACAAACTGAGAGGGCCGAAGGAGGGGAGGAGGGAGAGGAATTACAAAGAAGAGTGCTTTAGAAGCCTATCATCCTTTGCAGCTTACAAGTTTCTTCAGTTGCAGATTAGAATAGCAATCAGTTTTTCATGCAATTGTGAGAGGAGGAAACAATGCTGCCATGTTGTAGACTGTGCATGTAGCATGTTGAGATTTATACTTACTTAAGGACTTAGCTGAATTTGCATTAAGCATCACATTTTTCTCTTGTGCTTGCATTGGTGTTGCTCTTTAACTACTCTGCTGGTGACTGAATTATTTAACATAATGACCCCCCACCACAACCCCCCCCCCCCCTGCAAAATTGAAAAAAAAAAGGTAGTTTCTTTGTATTGTTTATAACTTTTTGTGTGTGTTAAAAAGTGTCATCATCATCAACCTTTATTTAGGTTCTCGGAGAGATCATTGAGGGTGACCCTCATTTATAATGATGCTGAGAAAACATACATAAATGATAAACAACGAGAAATGGGATAAAGCTACTACAGAAAATAAAATCAATAAAAGAGCAATAAGAACAATAAAATATATACACTAAAATAATTTAAAAGCTTGAAATTCTAAGTGTGCAACCCTGTGAGAAACTACAGCTGTCTGCAGCTGTTTTCACTCGTGCATTCCTGAAATGTCTCTAGTGGGAGACTATTCCTGTCGGGTGGGAGCAGGGTGGGGGGGGGTCTCTGAGGCAAGTCATGACATAAAAGAACGAAGCAGCCGAGTCCACTATACAACACTATTTTGAGAATTTTATCAATGCTATGTGGTGTTGGACTGAACAAAAGAGAGGAGAAGAACATAATGGAGAACATAAAACATAATGCAGAAGTTTCAGTCATGATGAAGTTTACATGCAAGAAGATTGCATACCCGCGGTCTCAGGTCGTACTGAAGGGACAGCTTTGTTTTGATTTTATAGACTAATCTACTGGACATCTACTTTAAAAGCTGCTTATTGATTTAAGAGGTCTGACCTGTGTAGATTTTAAGACCATACATTTGCCATATAGGCAGAAAATTCAGGATCATAGCAACACTTTTTTTTAACAATTATCAGTCCAAATTGTACAAATAAAAACCTTGTGTAACATGATTTCTTTTTTCTGATAACATCAGCTTTAACCCAGCAGGTAGATGTAACAAAAAGCTCAATATCATTCATGTTGTGAAATGTGTGCAGAGATATTACGTCTACTTTCATTGATGCATTTGAGCCTCTGTAAATGTAAGCCCCTTTGTGGATGACTTTGAGTAACAGCCAAAGAGCCTGAAATGAATGCGGAGACAGTTTTATGCAGCCTCTGTTGCAGGGCAATTACAACTGGGACAATGTAATAGTGTATAGTAAAACTATTTACGATAATAAGACGTGCATTCACAGTTCTCGTTTCCCAGCACTTCATGTAAATTTCAGCTTGATTAAGAAGGGTTTGGTTTCTGGGTGCAGTGGGAGAGGTTCCTCTGCACGCAATCCTGTCTGCTTCAGAGGACTGTGTGGTCTGTGTGTGTTCATATGTTAACATGGGTTCCCTCTGTGAGTTAATTCGGGGTTACAGAGTGTCTGGATATCAGTACTGAAGGCTGTGTAATTAATGAGGAGGGGACAAACAAGTTCCCCAGTGTGTGTGTGTGTGTGTGTGTGTGTGTGTGTGTGTGTGTGTGTGTGTGTGTGTGTGTGTGTGTGTGTGTGTGTGTGTGTGTGTGTGTGTGTGTGTGTGTGTGTGTGTACTACAGGTATATGCATACATGATGCATGTGTTTTTATTTCTCTGTATGTGTGCTCCCCTTAAAGGCCTGCCTCCTATAAAGTGTGACTGTGAGGTTGTGGGGTGTAACACTTGTGACTTTACCAGCCTCACAATTACAGACACAGGATGTAAGAGTGTGAACATAAAGAGTACATAAACATAGAATAACATTCCACAATTATGGTTTTTCAAAGGGCAGCGTTAAAGCAGAATTACTTGAAATAGGGACTTTCCATATGAATAAACCTGTTTTATTTATTTTAGTCTATTCCACTTCATATAAGCTGTTTTCACATGTGCACTGTATTTCTGGCAGGCTGTCCCTGAAATCCTTCTCAGTTGCTTGTTTTACATGCCCACCTCACAGCAAGACACCTTCCCTGTGTGTGTGTGTGTGTGTGTGTGTGTGTGTGTGTGTGTGCGTGTGTGCATGAGTGTGTCCGTTAACAGTGAGTTTACTAGCACACCGCAGTGTATAAAACCCACAATGAATCCGAGCCCTCGTGTTTGTGTGCTGATGACTCCTTCCTTTAAACCTTTAAGGGACCTTATAAAAAGTAGCTCCTTCTTCCACTGAATGCAGAGTTAACAGAAATCTTATTTTGTAACCAGTCTTTGCATTCAGAGGCAACTATACCTCAGCATTCTTGTTGTTATCGCTGCAAATGAATTCTGGGGTAGTGTTTAAGATTCAATGTCTTATAGCGGAACCCTTTTAAGAGTTGAAATATGTTGAATATAATAATTAGAATTAACTCACCGAGGCACCTTGAGGTCCAGCGTCACCAGTAGGCCCAGGGTCTCCAATCACACCCTGAGGACACAACAGACGTGTCAGTGTCTTTCACCTTCAAGTGTTGATATTTCACATGCAAGCATAAATTTAGGAGGGCCACTCGACAAGCCCCTTTGGGTTTATTTGGCTCCTCCAGGACATTTCTTTCAAAATGCATATTTTGTTAATTAACTAATCATTATGTACTTTCTGTTTTTTCCATTGATCTATTATGTTTGTTTGTTTTTGTTGCAGGGGAATAAAATAAAATACAAATTAAAGATTTGACACTATTTATTTTTATTACCTCTACATATATTTCAGTGAAAATAACACAACAAGCAGGATATAATCCAGAGAATAGACATGTACTATGGTGAACCTACATGAACTTAGGAATTGAAGTACAGCTGTGCTTCAAATAAGTCAGTGTGTTGCAAAGACTGGACCTAACTGATAATATGTAAAAAGTTCATATGTGAAACACTTGCCCCTACTTACAATATATATTTGGACTTGTTGAACCTGGGATTAATTTTGGATATTGCTTCACAGATTTGATTTAAACTGTAAATTATATTGCTATCATATTTGTCCATACTGCTATTACAGACAGGGCTTCAACAAGTGTAATTTTGTTTTTGTATCACATACTAAACCTTTACTTGCATCTAAGAGAACCATTTGTATTTAGCCTGTTGTAAGTTCATCTCTGGTAGCAACAGTGACGCATGAAAACCAGCTTGTGTGGCGAGTCCTGTGGTCAGTTCTTACAGTGTAAGTCGGCAGCTTGTTAAAAGACGAAAAATGAACAGCAACAAACAAGCACATTTTAAGCCACAACACAACATGCAACTTAGGTTTTAACTAATCCAAGACACAAATATACACTGCTCGGTTTTTCCCTCAGACCTCTCCATACTGTTTTTTTTTTATGCAGTAGGAAGCAAGCGATGTGTGAACAAGTTCCAGTATGTCCCACTTTAATACACTGGTAATGAACATGTGAAAGAAGCTGTAAAACATATTGTGGCGATGCAAGCTAGTCATTGTACATTTTCATGATGTTCCCCGCAGAGCTTGTACGTATTTATTTATTATACAAATGTCTGCAAAAAGAATTTGTTTTCCACTAAATACATACATTTAACATCTGTTCTGCACACAGCACTGAAATCTGTGCAGGAAATGCTGACTCATCAAACCCTATGTTTGACTTTTTGCTGTGTCAGTCATGTTACATTTATCCTGCCTTTTTTTTTTTAACATGTTGAGATCATCCTTAAAGGGGCACTATGGAGTTTTGGTAGAGAAGTTTGAAAGTTGGAGACATTTACAGATTATGTTGCATATGTTCATCACTCTCCATATAACAAGCTTCTGTTTCTCCATTTGCTTTCTTCTTGTGTCTTTAGTCTACTTTTGCACTATAAACACATTTTTGTAATTCTAATTGAACAAATAAGCAAAGATCATTATCAGAATTCCTTGATCGGCTTCGTTTGACATTTGTGTTTGAAGCTGGAAGGGCCAGTGTCTACTAACGCTGTATTTTGTGCTGGCAGCGTCCATTTTTTGTACACACCCCGATGCAGATCAGCGTTTTCAGCGCTCAGCGTCCTAAACACAAAAACATCCTCTTCGTCAGCTGTGCAAAGTGCTCAGTTGAAAATAGTTAATTTTGGTAACACCACCTCGCTTGTCTATGCCAACCATGTCACAGGCCAAATAAAATTAAGAAAGGTATGAACTTTTTATAGCGGAGAAACTTATCCGACTCATCTTTTCGAGGGTGCAATTTCCAGGAATCAGTGAGTACAGTATTTTATGCACTCACAACTCCCTTCTGAACGTGTAGAAATGTTGATTTGACTACAAAACAGAAGAATTAAGTGTATTGTGAAGAGGGTCAAATGGTTTTATTTCACCTTTATACAGAACTTTATGTTGATTTTAAAAAGGAGTTTCAATCAGCCTTGTTAGAAACGACAGTAGCGCCAGATGGTATTGTTTTGTTAGCAGCGCCGTTAATTAAGAACAGTCATACATTTAAAAGAGAGAGAGCCTTGTTGTTTTATTAGTTCAAACTGATTGTATTTAATGAATTAATGTTTCAAGTACTGTGCTGCTATAATGGTTTCAATAAAACGTAAACTAAAAAAAGACGTGCATGTTGCTCATTAATTATTAATCGATTAATTGATTGTTAAGGTGTTCAACTATCGGTTAAGAAAAAATACTGAAATTGGCATCCCTACTAGCAACAGTTAGCATAGGTGTAAAGTGCTCTGAATTTATCGTCATAAGTGCGGCTTGTGCAAAAAAAACATATTTTAAATAACTTTAAAAAAACACATTGAAGACAATCTAGGAATTCTGAATGTGGATGAAATCATGAGTCATGAATCAAGTCTGTTCCTGCATGTTGGGTCATAAAATGTTGGGCAACTGGCTTGTTTGAAACAAGATCTTGTGACATCATTTAAGTTGGCTCACTTTTGGCTCAGTGCTCAACCCTTTGAACCCACTTTTGACTTGAATCTGGTCTTCCTCTAAACCTGGATTAAACGTTGGTCTAAAAATACTCCTGGTTAAATGCTCTGCAGGGCTTTACGTATGACACCATCAGGTTTGACGCCTCCTCCTTCTGTTGGAGCTATCTGCTGACACAGAGGTTACCCAGTCTCACCATCATATATTTTGAGAGCAGAGGTCTGCATGGTGGCAATGAGGAAACAACTGAATTAGCTCCCACTGCGTCTGTTTTCTTTTGAAGTGTCTTGCCGCACAACGCACATAAACCAGTAAGAGCAGCAGACCTCATAATTACACAGCCAAGACGCCCGCCACGGACCAATAAATGACAAGATGACATAAATCTGGATGTCTACAACAAGAGAAAATAGACAAGTGAACCATAGCAGGCCAACACAGGCCTGTGAGAAGACTAATCTGCTACTTCAGACCAAAGAAAGTGCAACTGTTTGATGTGTCTAAGTCGAACAACACTTGAATGAATCCTTGAGGGGGATCTAAAAGAAACATCAACAAAAGATAAAGACAGCTAGTAGAACAATACTCGAACAAAACGAGTCTATCTCAGAGCAGACCTTTTGAAACAGAGGATCAAAATAAACATTGTACTGCTTCTACAGCTACAGAGAAGGGAGTTAACGCCATGCAGTTCACTGGCTGGGCTCTAGCCGTTTAGAGACCAGAAACATAAGGATCTCTGATGTCCAGAAGTAAGTAGATCTGCAGCCTCAAATCCCAACACCAATTCGCAAAAGACAGATTTACAAAAGACCAATCCCAAATGTGAATTATTCTAGGACCAACTTTATAACAAAATCACACAGCCACCCTTTGTTTTGTCATAAGCGTTTAGTTTTTAACCAATGTACAGTTTATGATGTTGTTTGGTTTCTGCTTGTTGTTGTGCTACCTGTGTTTTGTCAGGTTCTGTGTACATTTGTGTACGTGTGCACCATCAACCTACAGATGGAAATTAGCCGGTGGCTATAATCTGTCATATTTACATATTTCTGTTCATTAATGTGCTGTCCCTTTTTTTAATGAACACCTGATATCAATGGCTGGAACACTGCTCTAAAGGGAGTGCAGAGGAGCATGTTAGACTGCAGCTCTGACTCCTGGTCTCACTATCGTTATGATTTGGGACGAGTAAACTCAGCCATATGTCTAGATAAAGGAGCTCAAAGTGTGATAAATGCCGTCACGCCAAGCTTTCCCCATAATGTCCTCCAATTAGCAACGAAGCCCACATTGTTTGCTGGACACCACCAGGACAGCCACCAGTTGAATGTTGAAATGGTCATCTCATTATTTGTCTGAATCGTCAGGGAACCAGAGAAAACAACAGTCACATACACTTAAGTTCAACTTCAGACAGAAGTGTTGCATCATTGGTAGGCTACACTTACGACATGAACTATCATCCAACTTGTTTAAAAAACTTCAAAGACTTCAGAAACGTGTAAATTAGCAGTGACTAACAATTGCCTGAAAAGCACTCCTCTTTACAGTCATCATAATGAAGAAACCCAATACTAGACAAATGTTTGGTTTGGTTTGGCCTGACGCATATTCCGCAGCACATAAAAGAGGAGCTCTTAGACCTGTCCATTTCCAATGCCAGGTGGTTTTGCTCAGATAACTGTTCCTATTGGACACCTCCAGGCTATGATGGTACATCCAACTGGTAGCAGACCCTCTAACTGGTGCTGATCAACAATTTCATGGAGGGATTGCCAATCCAATCTGAATTGTAATGCCTTGGGATATCACAGGAGGAGTGGGAGTATATAGCATGCCAGATACTTCAAAGTCTTTAATGCTTTATCAAATACATAAAAACATTTATCGTAAAGGTTTGGAGTTGTCAATCAAGGTATTTAACAATGAGATATCGATAACATGTCAAGACACACATTGAAAAACATCTGTCAGGGATCAGAAAGGTCATGAACTCATAAGTCTTGAACTTTTAATATTGGCAAAGATATACTGTTTCTGACAAGCAAATTCACACAAAATTGTCAACCCGTCCTTGAAGATTTAAGGATCGGTTGGCCCAAGAGCGTTAAATTACTACTTTGTACCTACGCGGCAGCCCTTATCAAAACTGCTGGACGCCTGTCCCGTACAATCTCTGGAGAAACAGGGAGGGAGATGCTGTCATTTCAAATCTGAAATGTCATCATTTAAAGTGCCACAGACTAAATTCCATTCATTATTACTTTAACAGGTGGCGCCAAGTAAAACAAACAAAAAAAAACACAACTATCTGCTTGGATAGATGTCATGAAAGGTAAGTGAGAAAATGTGGTTTTGTGGGTGTGTTTGTTTGTTGTGTGTAATTTTGGTGAACTGACTCTTTAAGCTGTCATGTCTTAAAAGTGATTTAGATAATGTGTCGCAGCTAATGTCTGTATTTAGAAAGTTAAAAAAAAAAAAACAATCATGAAAAAATAAGGAGACATATCATAACTTCATGCAGAGCACTGAGGGAGCCTATT